TATATCTTCCCCCTGTCCCAGACCATAAATATTTAAAGTCGGTGATTCATGAAGGAAGTAGGGAGACAAGAATTTCTGCCTGACAAATATATCACAAATTAACTGCCAGCTAAATGAGAAAATTCTTTTGCTTGGGGGGAAAAAGAAAAAAAAAGAACAAGGGGCAATGTGGCAGGCTGGAGAGGAGAGGCTCGCTGGGTTGAGGCTTCAGAGGGCAGTTGGAGTTGAGTCATCCCAAGACTTGATTCAACACAAGTCAATGTTCATGGCCAACAGTTGATTGAGTCTTCAAACCAGTTTACAACTGGATTTGCCTCAATTCAGTGATTCAGATTGAAAGTTCACTGCCAAGGAGAGATTCAGTTGCTCTGGAATCAAAGCTCCAGACCAAAACTTTGCCCACACCGTCTGTTTTGGTTTGCTTGCAGTGATGTTAATCAAGCAGATACTCTGACCTTGAGTTAGCCCTCAGACCAACAGGCCAATTATGGACTCTGGAGCTGGTCTTCAGCTGGTGAGTGCTGGTTTTGATGGATGGGCAGCAGAAGACCTTGGCACGGTCTGGGGCTTCTACTGACTCTCCAGAACTTTTAAACAAGGAAGGAGTTCACACACCAAACCAAACCACAATTTGTCCTTACTATGCTTTGTTGAACAAGCCACAATGTTCTGTTTGAATACAGCTGCCCTAACTGACTACTTACACACCACAATGGCTGAGTTCACAAATGGCACCAACCCAAGTCACTTGCATTTTGGCTTTGTGTAAATTGGGTGGCCCTCAGCACTGAGAGACTCCCGCAAAACGGGGTGGAACGTCAATGAACAAAATGGAGCCATACTGGGAAGCACACCAAGTCCTCATTGCTACCACCGGGTTCAGGGTCTGTGTCTGTTTAGAGCAGGGGTCTCCAAATGTGGCAACTTTAAGATGCGTGGACTTCAACTCTCAGAATTCCCCAGCCAGCATAGAACTATGGGAGTTGAAGTCCACAAGTCTTAAAGGTGCCATGTTTGGAGACCCCTGGTTTAGAATACTGTTCAGCCCCCTCCAGCCTGGGAACCATCATTGCCTGCCTCACCCAGTAGCATACAGAAAGGAGTACCTTAAGCATGTGCAAAGTGCCGTAGACTTTGGGTGGATAAGCCCCCTGTTCACGTATCTCTCCCTGAAACCTTTTGCTCAACCTTTCTATCCTGGCTACCAGTTCTTTCAGGAGATGGGTTTGCCCACCCTACAAAAAGTGTTTTCCAAATGTGCCACCATGGACTCAGTTTGCACAACTCTTGAGCTACAACCCCCGCACATTACAAGCCCTACGATCTTGGCACAACGCTCAGAGCCGCCATAAGTAACCCTTCCCCTCTGTGCCCCACCTGCCTGCTGGCTTCTACAACCCCGTGGAGAGACGGCGCACCATTCGGGACAAGGAAAAGTGGCCACGCATTGCAGAAGGCAGCCTGCACACTGACGCACTGAAGGCAGGAAGTGTTTGCCGAGCGCCTTGCCAGGGCAGGGATTTAATGCACCGTAGGCATGTACCCTCTTTGGATACATCTGGCATTCGGTTTCCCCCCCCCCTTTCCTCCCCGTTGTTAAGGCGAAGAGACTTCTGGCACAAAAGAGCCCATTACTACCAATTAGACTCTCTGAATCAGGAGTAGGCAATATTCTAATGCACAGACAGAAGATGGTTTTTGTAAATCTGCCACGTCCTCCTTGTAGGCAGGCGTGCAATGCCCTCCCCACCCACCCACCCACCCCACCCCCGGCTCCTGGAGACAGGTGCTTTGGGATGCTTTGCTGGCTCTGGTTTCAGACCCCCCCCCCCAGCTTGTCTCATCATCCATCTTTCTGTCATGCTGCCTTTTTAAAGAGCCCCAGAAATGCTTTGGTGGCATTCCTTCTGAGGGTCTCCTCCCCCGCCCCTGAGCCAGCAGTTCTGCTCCAGACACGGGACTGTGTCTAGAGTGATGCAGTTTGTATTCAGCCATTGGGGGGGGGGGGAGGAGGAGGTGGAGAATTGGGAGGGGTCAATTGGACCCCAGGGATGTCTCTCTGATTTCTGGGCCCTCAACGTCCCAGCCGAAGGGCCATATTGTCTGATTGCAGCCCCTGGAAAGCCTAGCCAGAAAGCAGCTGTTTGGGGAACCAGGATCCGTCGGGCAGCAGCGATGCTTTCAAAGGCTGGCTGCACCCGATGCTGGGCTTGGCAGCCAGCTCTGAGGCTGGTGCCCAAGGGCAGGCACTGGGCATGTTGGGGGGGAGTGATGGTGGCTCCCTTGAAGAGCAAAAGCAACTGGTTGGTGCCTCAATCGGGTTGGGGGGGGTCAAAGGCAGCCACACTAACCCAACACCTGTCTGTTCACACAACACACTGTGTGAGGGAAAGCAATTCACCAGGATCTGTTCACGCTTGCAGCTTGCCACAAAGCAAAGGAAGCTGCAGAAAGACAGGAAGGGGCAAAAATCTCTCCCAATCTCCACAGTTCTATATAAATTCCTCATTAGCATCGGCTGGCTTTCTCCAGCTTGGCTACTTTAAGAGGAGCGGACTTCAACTCCCAGAATTCCTCAGCCAACAAAGCTGATACTCTGCTTGGAACCTGGAGCCCCCACCTTGCCCATCAACCCCCCCAATCTCTGAGATGCAAAACCCTCCAGCGAGAAGCAGGTGCAGCCTGAGAAAGTTCCCGTGGCAGCTGCGTGCTCAGCGGGGTCTGCCAGGTGGGACCCCAGAAGTCAAGATGGTCAAAGCTCCAGAAAGGGCCGGGTCCGTCTTAGCCCCCAGCTCGTTGCCCCTGATCCCCCCCCCTTGCCCTCTGCATCTCGGCTGAAACCCCACTTCTTGCCCCTCGGCCCTGCGGTTCCCCTCCCTGGAAGCAAGAGACCCTGGGCAGGGCTCCCTCTCCTTGGGGCCCCTTCAGGAGGGCCCGGACCTCAAGTCTCCTCGTTCTCCCTGCCAACGTCCAGCCCAGCCCGGGCACGAGGGAGTTTGTGGGGCGGTTGGTGCGCTTCCTCCCTTGCCAAAAATGGCTTTGAGGAGTGGACGATTGCGGGTTGCTAACTCTGTTCAGCGGTGGCAAGGAGGCCCCGCTTAACTAAAGCGAAATCGATAAGCACCATATTAATAAATCATAGGCACTGGGAACCTGGCAGGACATAAGCACAAGAGTTCGGCAGGTAGCAAGCAGGCGCTGGGCGTCCCCGGAGGGCAGGAGGCCTTGGAGTCAAGGGGGAGACTTCTGCTCACCAGGCTGCCCATCAAGGCCCATCCCCCCATCTTGGAGAGGGAGGGAGGCAGGGAGGGAGGGCTTCTGGCAGGTTCACACATTGCAGGATTCAGCCCGCAAGACTGGAGAGCTCTGGGCCGCCCCTTGTCAGCCCCTCCTGCACTTGGCTTGGGTCACATGAACACGGGGGACACTGTAACGGTCGTAAGTGTGAAAGACAGTCATCTTTTTCAGTGCTGTTGTAACTTTGAACAGTCACTAAATGAACCGTTGTAATTCGAGAACTACCTGTAGTCTGTGCTCAGCTGTGCGGTGCGTAAATCGGAGATTAGGGCTTAAAACGTTGCACAAATCCAGCCAATTAAGGTTCACTGAATACATCCTCTCTAACAAGCCACAATCCAGCGAGCCGGGCAAAGCCTGCCCGGGGGGGGGGGGGAGCGCCTCTTTAAGTCTTTTGCTCCGTGCAGAGCCTGGATTTGTGAGCCAGACACACACGAATCCACAGCCTCCCACGTTTCCCCACCCCCCTCCTTTGATCTGGGGTTTAGACAGGCCGCTAATTGAGGCACAGCCTCCCTCTTTCGTGCTTCGTGTAGAGGTCTTTGCAGGAAGCCACTCAGCCTCCTGGCACTGGAGCCCCAGGGGTTCCTGAGAAAGCCGCTAGAAATCTGTGGTGCTGTTTTCCCACAAAGCTACTACAACTCCCAGCATTCCCCAGGAAATGCAAATAATTGCATCGTTAAATAGAGATAGCAGCCTGGATCTTCCTTTAGGCTGGAACCTAGAAAAGTCTTGATCTAGGGCCTGCACTGGTTTTAGTTGCTGAATCAGACATCATTCTAACCCATTGTTCCTGTGATTCCCTGAATAAGTCACAATGGCTGGTTACACATGTTGCAGTAGTCACACATCAAACACACCACTTTATGGCTTGGCATTAAGTTCAGACTGGGCCCCTGCAGACTCCTAGATCCAGTTGATCCAAAAAAACTAATAACCTTAAATGGGAAAGGATTCCTTGCTCAGAGCGTGGAAACCTCTATCTAAGTGTTTGTGTGTGTGTGTGGGTCTGTGCATCGGTGCATCACATGACTCCTTGTAGGACATGCCTATCTACTTTTCCACCAGGGACTGGATTACAAGTGTGTAGCCACCCCATTGGAAATGGAGAGCCACAGCCCCACCAAAGAGGAACCATCATCCAGCACTCTAGAGATACAACATGCCATTTCCAGCGTTGACTGCAAAGTATTTAGGTTGTATAATTCTCACTGAAAGTAGGTAAATTCTCGCCACTTGTGTTCCTCAGTTTTTCAGGTCAATGCTACAAAGCACTTTCTTGCAACTAGACAACCAGAGAAAAGTCACAGTGCACACAATGGCTTGCTAGCCAAACAAACGATGAAATAATGCTGAATACTGCAAAATTCAACTTTCAGTCCTGATTCTCTTTCTTCAAGGTGGCCTCACCCTGTGCCCCATTTTTATTTTTTTCCTGTCTCATGGACGATGGCAGCAAAACAACCATCTGGATTGTCCCCCACCCTCACCTGTCCTTTTTATGGATTCATACAAACAGCCCGGCTTAATCCCAGCGTGACCGCATGACCCAAACTCATCCCAGGGCTAGTCTGGTTGAAGACCAATCAACATGCTGACCTCTTTCAAGATGACCAACATCCAAACCAGAGAATGGTGAGGAAAGTTCAATCCAGCCAACAAACCACAAGGCCACATGGACCAGCCAGAAGGAGGAAGGATATGGACTACAGACCAGTTTGAGGCACCAGCTGCGTGGTCGCGTAGTCTGGCTGAAGCAGAAGAAGACGGTGGAGGCCAGCGCAGGGTAGGGGACCTGGTTGTCTCCCTCATGGGTTGGATCCCGGGTGGACGAATCTGCCGAGGCCAAACTGTCCTGGATGGACTTGCAAGCACTGAAGGTATCCTCATCTTTCTCCTCTCCAGATTGGGGGACCTGGCTGGGGGCTTGGCCAGACGCTATGGGGACCCGCACTTCATCCCTGGACAGTGGCTGGAAGGAAGCTCTCCTCTCGCCATCAGTCATGATAGCAGCTGGCTCCTGGGGGGTGAAAAGAGAGAGTCAGGGGCAGAGAACTCGTGGGACCCATGGAGAAAGCCTGAATTTGTCTTGGGATGGAGCACCAATATCACGGCCGATGCTGAGGCTCCAAAAATACATTAACCATGCTATGACTTTAGGCAAGAGATGCCTCCCTTCTCCAGGCCCAGATCTTGGTTCAGCTTTGAGCGGAAAAGAGTGGGGCAAGGAGCCCATGGCCGTTAAACTGATTGAAGGGACAAGCTAAGATCAGCTTGAGGGTTAACTTAATGGACCAGGCATCCAGCATTAATGTCAGGGAGTGAATTTCTACACAGAATGAAAAGTAGGACTGGGGAGGGGGGAAGGGAAGGGTCTGTTGTGGGGAGGGAGACAAAGGCCGGGGGGGGGGGGAGAAAGCTATGCCCCCTTGCAAAACTGTAGACTCCTCTGGGAAGGGCAAGATGCTGGCTGGCCTCAAAAGGAGAAAAGGATCAGACAACAATCTCGGTCTCACTCAAAGAAATCTTGAAGGAGGAGAAAAAGAGAGGAGAAAAAAAAGAGAAAACAATATGGAGCGGGGGTATCATTTTAAAAACTCAGAATTAAAATATTAGCCAGGAAGGAAGGAAGGAAGGAAGGAGATTATGAAAAGAAGGAAAGGAAGGAAATGAAGGAGGGGGGGAGGGAGGGAGGGAGGGAGGGAAGGAAATTATCATTTCTTGGCATAAAATTCTGTCCTTCCGCTTTATACCTGCCTGCAGTGTATTTCTTAGCTTGATGCTTAATGTAAAATCTCAGCTGGCAACAAGGGACATTTGCAGTATCTCCAAAGATTTGCTGCCCTGGAGTCACACTGTTGTGATGAGAAGGGAGTTGTGTTTGAAAACTTTGCAGGTGAATTTATAACAGAAGGTGAGGAAAGAAAAGCCCCTGGCAGGGATGGGGAGGGATGTGCCTCTGCATGGATGAAAGCCCCCAGTGGCCTCTAGGGAGACCCCAGGCCAATCCTGAGTGCAGAGGGAAATTCTCTTGCAGCCTCATTTAGGGGCCGTAGCTGGGAAGACCCCCAACGACTTCTCCCGAGTGAATCTCCCCTGTCCCCATTTCAAGGGCTCAATCAGTGGGAATTGCCAGTATAAAATCTCTGTTGAGTTGAAGGAGGCTGCCAGTGCTTTTTTCTTTTTTTGAGGGGTTGAATCCGTCCACCTTTGTTTATCCATCAACTGAAACCTGTTGTATTTATTTATGTATTTATTGTATAAAATGCAGAACAAAATCGGTATTGAAAAATCCAATAATACTGTCTGTAATCTGATTCACCAACTGATTACCAAGGACAATAGGATTGTCTTCTTACAAGAATGTTCTTTTGATTCAACCACTAATCTTCTACTTCCGACTCCCATCTTTTGGAGTTGGGCCAAGCTGGGCTTTGGACCCCTAAAGAAATTTATCCCAGATGTTTCCAGAAAAGGGGTGTCAGCAGTGGGATGGCATCAACAGAAGGGATGTACAGGAAGGGGAGAGAAAACGATCCGAGCAAATGTAAAAGGGAAGTAAAAAGAGAGAAACCGGAGGATTGAGTTGGGTTGTTTCCCCTTTCCCCGCCTGAAAACTGTCCTGGCATGAAAATGCCCCCCCTCCCCCGCGCGCGACCCTCTCCTATCTCCCTGGCCTTCATCTCAGGTCGCGACCGCCTGCCTGCCTGCCCTCCGAGGGGACGGCTGGGGAGAGCCGTCGGGGCAGTCAGGGCAAGTTACGCCCCTCTGTCTGGCAATGGAAATCGGGCGGGACACAGGAGGGAAAGTAGGAAGGGGGTGAAGGGCGAAGAGACCCTCTCCCGCGTGGGGATGCTAGTCTAGCCACCCACCGCGGGAACCGGTTTGCGGTTTTCCCCGCGCACCGCCGGAGAGGAAGGCCGGGGAGAGGGAAAACTGCGCCAGGGGCAGAGGGCGAACCTGGATCTGCCCCCTCCCCAAATCCAAGGACAAGCAAAGGTCTTCTCCGGTAGCGAGGGGGCTGCGAAAGGGGCGCGGGCGGAGGAGAAGGGGAGAAGCGAGCGAGGAGCCGGGCTGGGGAGCCGCGGGCAAAAGTAGCTCGGGCACCGGAGCGCCGCGCCAGGCATTGTTCTCCGGACCCCGCCCGCTCAGCCCTGCCGGAGCGGAGGGTCCCCCGCCCAGCCTCCTCTCGCCAGGCTGCGGGGGAAGAAGGGGGCGCCCCTTCCCCGGCATTGTCTGAAAAGTGAAGGAGGTTCGGGGAAGGGGGACGCCGGGGGAGAACGGAGGGCGAAGGGAAAGCTTCCCGAAGAGGGTGGGAGAGGAGGAGTGGGGAGCGGGAAGGGGCGCGGGAAGTCCGGAAGCCCGGTGACCTGCCGGTGCGAGGTTGCTCCGGGGAACGGCCGGCGCCTCGGATCGGGGCGCGCTGCTGCCTTCGGCCACTTCCCTCGCTCTGGAAGCGGCGCAGGGAGCCTCGGACGGGGTGCGGTGGGGCCGGGGAAGGAGGGCGGCTGCCGGCACACTCTCCCTCCGACCCGAGGTAAGACAAGCCGGCGCCAGGCTTACCTTAGATCCGCGGAGCTCGGGCTTCCCACGCGCATAGCCGTGCCTTGGCGTCCGCAGGAGAGCAAGCAGCAAAATCGACTTTCAAGGGCTGCGAAGGAGAACGCAGGATCGCTTCTTCCGCGCCTCCCCCCTGGGGATAGGAGGTCTCCGGCTCTGTCAATCCCGCTAACAGTTCGGGGGGGAAGGGGTGGCCTGGGAGAGGCTCAGTCACCCAGCCACCTACCCTTTTCCTCCCCCCCCCCAAGAAGCCTCAAATGGACCCCACCTCTCCTTCCTTCGGCCGACCGCGGACGGTCTCCGCAAAAGAACGAAGCGCGCGCGAGAGATTATTTTTCAAAACTGGACCCGGACTCCCTTCTTGCACCACGAATCGGGGGGAGGGGTCGCCCAACCTTTCCACCAAATCCGTTGCAGAAAAAGGGGAGAGCGGGGGGGGGGGTGAATAAATGCGAGCCAGGAAAAGAGAGCGGAGCTGGAGAGACCGTTTCGCTTTTGCGCACACGGGAAACTTCAGACTTAACGGGGGAGGGAAGGAAGAGAAAGGGGAGGAGAGAGAGCAAGAAAGGGGTGGGGAGCCTGGATTGCTTCTGCCGCCGCCGCCGGAATCCCGGCCACGGGAGAGAGAAGAAAAGGGCCCACCCAGCTGAGCAACTGCGGGCTGGCAAGGCGGGCTGCTGCCGGTGAGCTTTGGAAAGCGCGCCATGCGTAAAAGTATCCCGGGCGCACCGCCTGGATGAACTCCGAGGAGGCGGCCGGGCGGCCAGGGCGCGCCGTCCCGGCTCCCTGCCTGGGTTGGCGAGGCGAGGCGAGGCGGCTGGGTGTGTATGTGCACGCGCGCGCCGAATTCCGGGCATCTAAAGGGAGGTGGGGGAAATACCGGGGAGGGGGTGCGGGTCTTTCAAAGAAATGGGCTTCTCGCGTTCCTCTGCCTGACCCGGACAGCTGCAGACCTTTCTCCCGCCCCCGCCTTTTCCCTCCCTCCTTCTCTCCCTCTCTCTCATTCCTTTGTTCTCTCTCTCACTCATTCTCTCGTTCGCTCGCAAAGCGGCGCTGCCCGAGGAGGCGCGCGGTGAAGGTCGCTCTGCTGCCCGTTCGGAAGTTCCACGCCGGGGCGGGGAGAGAGGAAAGAAAGCGTTAACCCGTTCCACGCGCGGGGAGGGGAAGGGCCCTGCCGTACCTGGAGCCACTTCTTGAAAGGCTGCCGCCGGGGAAAAGGCGAGGAAGGCGCGGCTGCCTTGGACTCTTGCTGGGGTGGGGGTGGGGTGAGAGAAAACCCGAGACGCGGGAGGGAGTGCCAGCGGCGCGTTTTCTACCTTTCCATTTGCGAGCTTCCTGCTCACCGGAGTTTTGGCGACCACTTTCCCGCTGTCCCCAAACCGCAGACAAGGGAATCTCCTCAAGCAAACATTAATTACGGAACGTGTCGCCTGGAGATGGGACCCCCCTGATCTTGGCGGGGGGGGGGGGGAAGAGAGATTTTAAAACTTCTGGTCGTCTTCCTTTCCTTTTGGGCTGCTTCGGGGAGGCTGGGGTCAGCCAGCAGGACCCTGGCCCCCCTCTGGAGAGAGCAGGTGTCAAGGGCTTCCCAGTGAAAGGAGGGCAAAGCAGCAGGTCATTAGCAGTGCGGTAGCCATCAAAATGTCTCCTGCAGTTTTCCCACCTCTCCTGGCTCCCAAACCCCTTGTAGGAATTTCTACCAATGAATGCTCTGTTCCTCTGCAGGGAGTTGAGTCTTGGTCACTTTATGGACCTGTTCAGGGGGTGTTTGCGAGGTAGGGGCAAAGAAGTCAAAATGGTGGGCCCTTTGGTGTGATCAAAATCCATCTGCTTTTTTAATGTGCCTCACAGAGACCGTGCACTGAAAGAATAGAGCTTTGATTCTTCCAGGGCAGTTGCCATTTTGACTTTATTGTCCCCTTTGGGTTGCTCTCTGGCTGGGTTTATGATGGCCCAGATATTCAAGCACCCTCCCTCCCTCCCTGGAAAGGAAAGCAAGACTTACCCTCAAGTGACTTCCCAACCTGCATTTTGGGATGTGAATGTAATATAATTCATGGGGGAAAGTCAGGATGATGCTTTGCAATAAAGCTGTGTTTGCACAGAGCCCAAAAGAAATCTTGGAATTTAGTAAGGATTCCCAAAAGGCATTATTTTTCACTTTTACAAAATCCAGAAATCCCACAGACCTGGAACTAAATTTCTGTTCACCGTGGCCAAGGAACAGGGATTCTTGGTGGATGCAGTTCTCTCTCTTGGTGGATGCAAACCTGGTCCTTTTCAAGATGGGAGTCTCCAAAACCTCTGACCCCCTCTAATCCTGACCTTGAAATTTCCTGCGATCAGCTAATCCTCAAAGGTAGACATTCACCTCCCCTTGAAGGTGCTGGGAAAGATGGCAGAGGGAATTGCAGTTCTCCACACAAGGTAATTCTCATCGGCTTCAGCACGTTGCAATCTAGCTAACAGTCCTTGCGTAAATCATGTTAAAAAATAATGAGTGTCTGTGGACTGAATTCATTTAGCTAAAGAGACAGAGGGCCACTTTCAAGTTATTTAGAAAGATTAACGAAGAGGAAGAGAAAGGGGAGGATAATGAGAGAAATGGCATTATAAACAATCCATCCCTAATCCATTCCAGATCATTGGGCAGAAAGTTCACCCAGATGAGGTTGGCAGGGTGATAGCAGCCACGATGGGCTTTCTCTCCGGACACAGTTTTAATTAAACCCAGCCTAGGGATGTGCCTGAACAACAACATTTTCACGTGGACCAAGGATCTGTGATATTTCCCCTTCAAAATAATCAGAGTGATCTCTCTCTCTCTCTCTCTCTCTCTCTCTCTCTCTCTCTCTCTCAATATAATCTGCTTATGGGCTGCTTTATCTCTTTACAAAAAGCAAATTTTTCTTTTCAAATGAAAAGAAAATCCCTCTGAAAGCACATTTAACTACCAGCCACAGAACAGGAACCACCACCACCCAAATCTGGGCTGCATGGATGCTGCACCCCAAAGGCCATCGGGTTACGTGAAGCAAGTCCTGGGAACCATCGATGGTTGGGCCCTGGTTCTCCGAGGCTTTTTCCTCACCTGGGCTGAGATTAGCAGCAGAAATGCTGGATCCGTCCCGAAAGAACAGAGCGAGCCAAGGATGAGACCCTGCTCCATGGGTCCTTTGAAAAATGGTAGGAGAGTCGGGGCCCTCCATCCTGATCTGTTTGTCCCTTCTGGGACTCCGGCTGTCCACTGCTGGGGAGAGAAGGCTGGGAGGTGGAGGCAACCTTGACCTCCACAGAAGGCCCATTCTCAGCTTCCTTGGGGACAAGAGCTGGGAGAAGCAGAAGGCAACCGGATGGTGCCCACTGTCTTCTGATGTCTTGGCAAGGCCTCTTCTCCCCACTTCGTTCCTGTGTTGGGGGCAAGAGGTCACCCCATCCAGGGGGGGAGTTGCAGGCCCTGCTCCCATCCTCTTCAGCCATCTCCTCCTAACATGTATAGCGTAATAACGCCCTGTGCATATAAAATTCCTAAATAGATTTACATAATTTATTGTGACTCTTTTGTGGTTTATTTAATGCTTGGCTGATTCTTGCTCAGCTTAATGCACTGCCACTGTGCGAGACGCACCGGGGAGGGTTTGTTTTACGGTTTTTAATCAAGGCCTCCTCAACATCTGCTTGCTGCAGTTGCTGATGGGGAGTTCCAGGAGAGGGTGGGCGAGGGGAGAGAGGATGTCAACACTCTGCCCACTGCCTGGCAGCCTTCCAGATGCCTCCTTCAGTCCTGGACGTTCTGCAGCAAGCAAAGCAGCAACGGAGCCCCTCCCTGAGCAAAAGGCCCCAATCCTGGTCTGTATTCCTGGTTTCTATAAAACTTTCCCCCTGGGAAGAAGAGGATGGGAGAAACCAAACTCCCGCACCTCACTGAATGCTAGTTTGCTTTTTGGTGGAAGGAATGGAAAGAAGAAAAGAGAAGAGAAAAGAAAAGAAAAAAGAAAGGAAAGAAAGGAAGGAAGGAAGGAAGGAAGGAAGGAAGGAAGGAAGGAAGGGAAGGAAACAGGAAAGGAAAGAGAAGGAGGGAGGTAGATGTATAAAATACAGTAGCTCCTATTTGTGGTCTAAACTGGTTCAATCCTCTCTGTCATCTCTCCTCATGTCTTACCTGGGAAACAAACTTTGCAGGGAAGGGGGAAGGGGAATCTCCACAGTCCATAAGGTTCATCTCTGAGGCAGTGGGCCTAGTTGTGGGATGACAGTCTCCAGCCACAGCACAAAAGGAAATGAGGAGAGGAGGGAGGGAGGGAGGGAGGGAGGGAGGGAGGGAGGGAGGGAGGGAAAATAACAAATGGAGGCATGAGTTCTTCAAGAAAAAATCTCCCTTCCTTTTCTGCTCGTCTGTGAAAGACTATTATGTCTTCTTTTTCACCTTGCTTGCCAATCATACCTTCAGCTCTCCTTCAAAGATGCTAATGGCGGACAGCACAAAAATGGCATCAGGGCAAAATGGACACAACATTTATAATTTACTGGAAAAGCCAGTAGGTGTATTTCCAGTCACCTGTTGAATTCATGGCGAGACGGCTCAGGAAAGTGCAGCATAATTTAGATGTCTCGCCAATCACCCCAAAAAGAAAGGATGACCTTGACTCCAAATTTGGGATGTTCACACAGTTGCACTTTGGAAATTTAGCCGCCTTTCCTGGAGAAATCAGGGGTTTTCTGACCCAGGCCGAATTCAGTGCAAAGTATTATAACCGCTTGAACATTTTAGAGCCCCTTGAACTGCTACTCGTACAGAGGGGCAGTGGCACCATTCTTTTTGTGGCCTTGCCTGGTAGAGTTTAATTTTTTTTAATGGGCGGCTTTCTTGCAGTGTCATGTTAGCGAAAGAGAGAAAGGAAGAGGGGAGCAGAAAAAGAAAGACTTTCTATCAAGCCGGGAAGCTGCTAGCTTCAGCAGGAGGTGAAGTTAGTCATGGAGATGAGAGGAACAGGGGTGAGCTTTGCACACCCAAGCAATAAAGCTCTTGGTGGTTTAATCTCCCTGGAAGATTCTCAGCATGGGTTAAATGCAGTTTTGCCTTTTCTCAAGGGTTTAGATGATCTTTGGGCAAAAGAAAATAAACAAAAAAGGGGGGAAAGAGGGATTGGGCTGTAGAAGATGAAGCTTCTTTAGCTTTTAATGGCTTGTATGGAAGATCAAGGAGGAAAGAGTTGCTTGTTGTGATGTTCCTGATTTAATTAATTTAATTCAGAATAGAGCAGGAGGGGACCTTGGAGGTCTTCTAGTCCAGGTCCCTGCTCAAGCAGGAGACCCTTTATTTTTTCAGGCAAGTGACTGTCCAGCCTTTTCTTAAAAGCCTCAAGTTACACAGCACCCACAACTTCTGGAGACAGGCTGTGCCACCGGTTAATTGTCCTCACTGTCAGGAAGTTTCTCCTTAATTCCAGGTTGCTCCTCTCCTTGGTCAGTTTCCATCCGTTGTTTCTGTGCATCAGCTGGTTTCTTTTGTCCTCCTAGGCTGGCTACTGACCTGCACTGCACCCCTCTTCTCCCAAGGACAAATTGGAAGTGGGGCGGGGGTATCAGGGTGGCCTGAGCCAAACCAAGTTTTGCTGCTGGAAATCTACTCGGGCACTCTCCCGGGGAAATCTTGGCAGAAGAAAACAAGAAGCTGGCCGAGAGTTGCCCATCAGTAGCTAGGGAAGTGGCTGCTGCGTTTGGCTTTTAAGAAGCCCATTAAGAACTCAACGAGCTCCTTGCTGAGAGGGCCAGATGCCCCGGAGTCGCAGTTCCCGTGCCATGCTGACCCTCTCCCCTGTGGCTTTCTTCCAATGGGCTTAGAAGAAGGGAGCTTGAAGGACCCTTCTGAAAGAAGAGAACATCAAAGGCAGCCTTTGGAAGAGGGCTGCAAGGTCCTCTGAGGTGATTCACCAGGGGCAGTCAAGGCCAAAAAGGCAAGGCCCCCTTGGCAGATTTCAGTCCAAAGCTGAGGGTCCAAACCAAACAACAAACAGGCCAAGAATCTAATTAAACAACAATACTGTCACTTTGGGTGGGAAACTTGATTAGAAAAGCTGATGAGTCATATTTGTTCTGTCCTGGATTTAAACCATTCGTTTAGCAACTGTTCAAGGTTACCACAGCACTGAAAAGGGTGACTTACAACAATCCTCACACTTATGATGGTTGCAACACCCCTGTGATCACGTCATCAAACTTTGTACGCTTGGCAACTGGCATGTATTTATAACAGTTGTAGCATCTTTGGGTCACATGGTAGATGATAATGGAAACTGATCAAGGAGACAAGCAACCTGGAACTAAGGAGAAACTTCCTAACAGTGAGGACAATTAACCAGTGGGATGACTTGCCACCAGAAGTTGTGGGTGCTCCATCACCGGAGGTTTTTTAAGAAAAGACTGGACAGACTCTTGTCTGAAATGGCACAGGGTCTCCTGACTGAGCAGGGGTTTGGACTAGAAGACTGACTGGTGATTTATTTCTTCTCTTGAAGGGTTGCGTGTCTGGACACAGTTTTAGGAAGCATGTAAGTTGGCAGATCACCAGCTTTTGATTGGCACGAACGGCTGTGCACACCCTTGATTTGCACCATCCCCAAAGTGCCATTTTGGCATGAAAAGGCTGCCCCTTGTTCCAAGGGACCTGCCTATCAAGACAGTGTTTGAATCATGCCAGATATTGCCCCTCCCCCAAGCCTGAGAGCTGGCTTGGATCTTTGATGGAGCAGCTCCTGCAAGTTCTGTGCGTCCAAGAGGAAGGGAATGGGTTGCATATTGATCTGGAACGGTCTGGGGGCTGGACTAGAACAGAGCTCCCCAACCTTTTGGGTACCAGGGACCGGCCTCCACCTGGGACCTTGAGAGGAAATGCAGCCTGTCCCCTTTTTGAAAGAAAATGTCTTGGGTCAAGATTGGGGAGGGGGTGGGGATGGGTCCTCTTGGGCGGGTTCATCCCTGGCAGTGCCTCAGCCCCCTTATATTGAGGGGGGGTCTCATGTGGGTGGAAGGGTGAGTTTTTGCTTGCTGCTTCTCCCCCTTATCCTGACATTAGGAATCCCTCGAAGTGTATTTATGGCTTGGCCAAAAGGGAGGGTCTCCTGGGAAGCCATTTGCGGCAGCTCTTGTACCAGTTAAAAACATGTCGACATGCCAGCAAGGGAGGGGATCTCTTTGAAGGACCCTCCTTCTGGCTGCCTCAATTTCCTTTAATGGGGCATTAAGTTTCAGAGGTTGTAGCTCAAGATGTCTAAAAGAGAGAAGAGTTTGGGTGAATCATGAAAACATTCCTATAGAAGGGGGAATGGGCGGGAGGGGTTGTAATTGTTTAAGGTGTAGAAAATAAGACTGCTGTCCTATTTTCCCCCTCACCTGCACACAATCCCGCTCCAGGTTTTGCCTAAAGCTACATTCTAATTCAGAATTTAAATGCCACCTTGTCTCATTTTTATTTTTTGGGAGTAGTCTTTTTCTCCATATTTTTCTCCCTCAGCTTCCCTCTTCATCTCTTTCCTTCTAATATTTATCATAATGGTTAAATAAGAATGCATCAAGGATTGCCCTGAGACAGAAGTAAATATACATCCAAGCAGGCTCTTGGCAGGTGGCTGGAGCAAGCGAAGAGATATTAAAAGAGGAAGCCAGGCAAAGCTCAAATATCTCAGGGGAAGACAAGTAAATTTTGCAAGTGAGAAAGATGGTAAAACAGCAGCAGAAGAGGGGGGGGGCAAAAGAACAAAGGAAGGTCCCAGGAAGATGGAAAGGTGTGTTTAGCAGCAGCAGCAACAACAGCAATAACCACATGCTTCATCATCTGTTTTCTACTTAAAAGGCCTCCATTGCAAATTTAACACCAAGGTGAAGACAGAAGTACCTTAATTGGACTTCTGGAAGTGAACAAGCCACCGTACGCAGTGCGAAGAGCAACAGGTCCAGGAGTGTCTCTGGACACTGACTTAAAAAAGAGAGAAATCCTGTCTGAGTTCCTTTCGGTCACAAAGAATTTACCGGATGAGATAAATGACTAATACAAATCCCTGCATCAATCTGTTCGCAATATGCGGCTCAGCTTTGCACAAGTGGCTGCCAGAGGTTTCCCCTTGCAGGAGTGCACAACCCAGGTTTGCAGCTGGTGTGGCCAAGAAGGCAGGTTTGTTCTTGTGCAGCGCAGGCCGCTCCCTCTTAGCCTGATTGCCATCCTGGGACAGTAGAGGAGCAGGTGGGGAAATTTTTTTGACTTCCTAGACTAGCCAATAATGGTGAGATTTTCTGGTGGTCTAGTCATGAGCAAAGGAGTCCCCCCCCCCACGCTAGTGGGTTGAGTCTCACTGCCACCTGCTGGGAAGGGGTGGAAGAGGGGAGAAATAACCAGGGAGACCTGCTTTACAGCAGCAGTCTTCACTTTGGGTCCTAGAACTTCCAGCTTCCTGTTTGGTGCTCAGGGACAGAAGATAATGGATTGTCAGGAAACTATCAGACCAGCCACTTCTACCAGACCCAAAGGTACTTTATCAAAAGGCAACTGGACTTTCTTAAAAGAAAGCCCAGTTGCCTCTTGAAAAAGCACCTTTGGGACAACCATGATCTGGATGGCTGAGAATCTCCATAGACCCTTCTACCAGAGGAGACAGCATTGGTGGAAAGGGATGAAGGTCTTGGGTTGGGTTCATGGAAGAAGGAGCTATCCTTGGTCCTGAAATCCTGTCCTCGTTCCCCTTGAGCTCCTGATCAATTTCATCTCTCCAGATGGCCACAGCAGCTCAAAGCCCAGCTGTTCTAACATCAGGCAGCTCAACCTTTCATACCAAACAATTCGTTTCCCAGCATCTTCAGTTGAAAGGGTCAGAGTCCTCTTGTCTGTGGGCAA